TTCAGTAATAAGATTCACGCTGTACCAAGTGACCATACGCGAGATTTACATGAGGAAAAATGGAGGAGGTTCAAGCAGAGCAATTGACAAACCATTTCGTCTCCTCCTCCCATTTCTTATGCTTCCTATATACGAACAGTAACATGGACTGGTTAAATTGAATTGCCCATTTGTGTGCCATATCCTACGTAAATGTTGCAGCATTTCTGTGTTAACAAAATGAGACATCTGGCTGATCTGTTTATGGTGGAGGACGGAATGTCAGCTTTGAACACCGAACAATTTCCTATGCCTCTTTGAGTAATGTGTAACAAGAACTGTAACATCCATTAGAACAGATGTTTGAAGGATTGTATTTCCAAGTGTCAGCTGTGAAACCTTGCAGATTGCTCAGAAAAGATTCCGCTGAAAGGAGAAAGTGGGTTAAGATCCCAGAGGCGGTTACTCTTCAGAAGGAATGTGCAACTGCACCACAAACACACAATACAGCAATGTTCTCAGAAGCAGGATTACTCTGAAAGATGAATGCTGCTCACAGCCATCCCTGTTTCTTATTCTCTTGTTTTCTGTTGTGTCAGTCAAACTGAAATGGTGCATCAGGACTAGGATTGATATTACTGTGTGGCTCTGCTTGTTTATAGCAACAGTTTACACCAATCATTTAGGTTGGGATTGAAGAATGCAAGTGTAAAATAATCAAGAACTTGACGGGGGGTGGGGGGATAGGGAGGGGGGATGTGTTTAATAGCAATGTGGTTGTGATGATGTATGTATGTAGGAGAGTATCTGGTTCTATTTGAACAGAGCAAAATTGTTAATGGAATGGGATGCTGCTGGAGGGCCCTGTCAGTGTCATTTGGAGAGCTAAACTTCAAACATTCAGCCCTGAGGCTGAATCCAGAAGTCCTGCTCTCAAAAATGCCCCAGTGTTTTTGCAGAGGGGAAACAGGAGTGGAATCAAAATTACATCCAATTTACAACTCACAGAGGCAGAAGCCCATCTACAAGAGCAACTGTGTCCAGTAATGCCTGCCATTCATCAGCCAGGAATGGCAAAAAGGTGTGCAGATTAAATCTGGCAAGGGGTGGCACAGTGGCTCAGTTAGCACTGCTGCCTCACAGCACCAGGGACCTGGGTTTGATTCCACCCTCGGGTGACTGTCTATGTGGAGTTTTCACATTCTCCCTGTGTCTGCATGGCTTTCCTCCCACAGTCCAAAGATGTGCAGGTTAGGTGGATTGGCCATACTAATTTGAGCATAGTGTCCAGGGATGCAATGACTGGGTGGGTTAGCCCTGGAAAATGCAGGGGTACAGGGTTAGTGGAACTGGGTGGGATGCCCTTCAGCAGGGTGGTATAGATTTGATGGGCCAAATGACCTGCTTCCACACTGTAGGGATTCTATTAAAAGATGGAACACCTTTTCGATACAGCCTTTCAAGGAGGCCAGATGCCTTTTGTGAGGGGTAAAGTGCTCTTTAGTATTATAAGAGTTAGAAATAGAAATTCACCAAGACAGCACCTTCCAAACCCATGTCCACTACCATCTCAAAGGGTAAAGGCTGCAGATACATGGGAACACTACCATGTAGAAGTTCCCCTCCAAGCCAATCAGCATCCTGACTTCAAAATATTTTGCTGTTCCTTCAGTGTTGCTGGGTCAAAATCCTGGAACTCCCTTCCTAATGGCATTGTGGTTGGGCTGCAATGGTTCTTCTCGTGGGCAATTAGAGATTGGCAATAAATGCTGACTCAGCCAGTGACACTCACATCTTGTGAGTAAATAAAAAGAACTCAGCCAACTGAAGAGTTCAATATACTCCAAATATTGGGGTTGAAGAAGTAGTTAAGAGTGTGTTTGTTCTTTTAATCCATTAACAGAGCAAAGACATTGCTGGCTAGCCCAGAACTTATTGCCGATCCCTAATTGCCCTGGAGATGGTAGTGATGAGCTGTCTTCTTGAACTTCTGCAGTCCTCCAGGCATGGGTATGCACATACTGCTGTAGAAAGAGAATTCCAGGCCACTCATGCAGTGACAATGAAGGAACAGTAATATAGATACTAGTCAGGTGTATGGTTTGGAGGGAGGTTCACAAGTAGTTGTGTTCTAATTCATCTGTTGTCTCTGATCTTCTCAGTGGCAGACGCCTACACTTTCTCTCATCTCTCCAGCTGCCATGCAGACCTCTGAAGTCCGTATAAGGCAGTGGCTGGAGAAATCCAAAGTGCAGTATGCTGATCACCATGAATGGACCTTTGGTACAGTTTTGCAGCCACACCAGTTAAAGGGTATGTTGATAGGAGGGGCTGCAAGCTTGGAAGATGCTGTTGAAGGAGCCTTACTGAGTTACTGCAGTGCATCCTGTGAATAGTACACACTGCTGCTAGTGTGCAATGGTGTTGAAAGGAATCAATGAACAAGGTAATGGATGCCAGTCAAGTGGACTACTTTGTCCTGTGGCATCTAGCTTTTTGAGTGTTTTTGAAGCTGCACCCATCCAGGCAAGTGGAGAGCAAGCCATTAAATTCCTGACTTCTTGTGGTGCAGTGGTCATATCCCTACTCTGAACCAGGAGGCCTGTGTTCAAGTCCCACCTGCTTCTGAAGTGTGCAATAACATTTCTGAACAGACTGATTAGGGAAAAAAATAAGATAAGCTCCTGACTTGTAGATGAGGATAGGCATTTGGAAGACAGAAGGTGAGCTTCATCATTATAGAATCATAGAATCCCTACAGTGTGGAAACAGGCCCTTCGGCCCAACAAGTCCACACTGACCTTCTGAGCATCCCACCCAGACCACAGAGTTCCTAACCCCTAACCTACTCTTGTAGCCATGGCATTTATATGGCTGATCCAGTCCAGTTTTTGGTCAACTGTAATCTCCAGGATTTTTGATACTGGGAGGATTCAGGGATGGTAATGCCATTGAATGTCTAGGGATGATAGTTAGATTCTCTCTTGTTGGCGACGTCCAAAGCATAGCACTCATAAATGTTACTTGCCACTTCTCAGCCCAAGCCTGGATATTGTCCAAGTCTTGCTGCATTTAGATGCAGACTGCTTCAGTATCTGAGGACAACAACTAAAACAGAAATTGCTGGAAAATCTCAGCAGGTCTGGCAGCATCTGTGGAGAGAAATCAGAGTTAACATTTCGGGTCCAGTGACCCTTCTTCAGTATCTGAAGAGCTGCAAATAATGCTGAATATTATGCAATCATCAGCAAACATTCTCACTTATGACCTTATGATGGAAGGAAGGTCATTGATGAAACAACTGAGGCTGAGGAATTCCTGCAGAGATGTCCTACAACTGAGATAACAAGGTGTAGAGCTGGATGAACACAGCAGGCCAAGCAGCAACAGAGGAACAGGAAAGCTGACGTTTCGGGCCTCGACCCTTCTTCAGAAAAAAGAACTGAGATGGCTGCCCTCCAACAACCAAAGCCATCTCATCTTGCGCTAGGTATGACTTCAACCCACAGAATTTTCCCTCTGATTCTGACTGGCTCCACTTTTGCTAGGGCTCCTTGATGCTATACTTAGTGAAATGCTACCTTGATGTCAAGGGCTGTCACTCTCACCTCACCTCTGGAGTTCAGCTCCTTTGGGAAATGAGGTCAGGAGCCTAGTAGCCCTGAGTGTCAGTAAGCAGATTATTACTCAGCAACTGTTGCTTGATATCACTATCAACAATTTTTTTCCATGATTATGGTGATAATCAAGAGTAGACTGATAGAGTGCAAATTGGTCAATTGGGTTTGTCCTGCTTTTTGCATACAGGTAAATGTCAGTGTTGTAGCTGTATTGGAACAGTTTCATGATTAGCCTGGAGGCCCAAGTCTTCAATATTTTCACCAGAATGTTATACAAGTCCAACACCTTCGGCCATTTCTTGATAACACATGGAGTGAATCGAACTGGCTGAAGACAGACATCAATGGTAGTGGGATCCCAGGGGGAGGCTGCAATGGGTCATCTACTAGATGTGTGCATGGTTTTCCCTGCTGTTGTTTTTCTGACTTTGCTAACCTGTCTCTCCAAGGACAAGAACCAGACATTTGCCATCAATGCCAATTATCCTCTCCATGGCCTCTGAATGAGCAGATTTAGATCTCACCTCAAAGGGAAGATTAAATAGACAGGTCAGTTTACCCAAATACTGGTATTATTTTTCTACCAAATCTTTGAAAGATCATGAAACAATTTAAATGAAATAATACATGGTGAAAGGATCTTTGCAACTAGGTTCCTCTGATCATTTAATTTCTTTTATTCTTTCAGAGGATGTGGGCATCACTGCAAAGCAAGTGTTTCTTGCCAATCCCTAATTGCCCTTGAGAAGGTGGTGGTGAGCAAATGGTGAAATGTGCAACTCAGCCAGATTCGGCCTGGCTCTCCCACCCCATGATGAGTTAACTGATCAATCTTGGAGCTGTGTACCAGCATGAGTGGTAAGATCGTCTTCGGATGAACTTTGCATAAAATGAATGCATCAAATCAATAGAAATCTCAAGGGCACAATCCTGCAAGGGAGGGAGATGGATGTTGGCACCACCCTGTACAGGCATCAGTGCTGCCCCTGGCTATACAGAACATCACCCAGCTACACCATTAGCCCCCTCCAACAAAGCATCTTTCCTGCTACTATACTATACCAGTACATACAACCAATCCGACACGTTCACTAATTCCACGAAAGCAGACTACACAACCGCACCAACACTTAACCAACATTTGATCTATTAAAAAAAAGACACTCAAAAAATGATTACGAATCACATTAAATAATAATCACAAGGAAATATTAAGATAAGCACAGACAATCCCTTCACTAACAGCTTCACTTAGAACTGATGGTTAATGTTATGGACAAGGCAGATATTACAGAACGGGCTACAAAGAATTAACCTTTAAACAGAATCAATTAAAACACCTACATGCATGTTGTGGCAACAAAAAAAAAACTGGCTGGAAATGTATCAACAATTACTTACCCAGAACAAGAAACTGAAGAAAAATAGATAGTACTTAATCCAAGGATTAATAAATGTGATATTTGCGCCTCTGTTCAACCTTCTTCCAAGATCCATTGTGGAAATACAACAGCTGTTTAAAGTAAAATATCAGGACAGGAAAATAGAAGAGATTCCCCAAATGATAAGCTATAAAGAAAATGTCAGCAGACTTCTGGCTTGGCGTTCTAATGCAGTGTGTGCAATGTGTGTGTGTCTGTACGTGAATGAGCCTGCCTGTTACTGAACACTGCAACTCATTCTGTGCCTCCAGTTGGTTCTGTACCATAAATAGACATACTCTTATCACCCGAATGCATGCGGCTCAGACACAACACAAGCGGGAATACTGATTCAGCATCAGATGGGACATATTTGGCACTTGGGTATACAGGACCAGCTGCAGTAGCTTTTCTTTAAAAATCTGTTTAATGACTGAAGTCAATGGTTTTACATAGATCTGTGCCCCTGACCTCCTCTTTTGTTCTGATCTTCAGAGTAAGGTTTTAATATCTTTCTTTGTCATATACTAAAATATACTTAATTAAGCGACATTTCATTTGATATACAACTTAGTTATATACCTGTGAATATATTCACACATTTTTTAATATATATAAACAAATTTTATGACACAGACTTTAAGATCTATATTTTATATGTAGACAAACACTTTAAGCAATTATGCGATATTATGTTCCTCACAAATTTTGAGCCAAAGTTGAAATGTACATTTGTGAATTTGTGCTAGTTTTCAACAATTTGCATTGCTTGCAAATTTCAGTGTCGCTATCTGGCTTGTGGTGTTTTTATTGACTATGCAAACTGGGGAGGCACCTCTGCAAATGCATATTCCCATATCAGATCCTAAAGGCTTCTGTTATGGTTTCCCCCATTTGACATCTTTGCACGAAAGAAGCTTCAGCTGCTATTATTTCCCTGCAAGTAGCATAACATGCATTGTTGCAGTGCTGCAGATATAATGAATGCACCAACATAAAAAATATTCATTATAAGCATCAGTTGATAGCATCTGCAATTCATTAACTTGGTCTTTCCATTACATTTGATGCATTGTGGTTACTTTTAGAATATCTGGTTCTCTGTATTGTACGTTCAGGATATTGGGTTTACTGCTTTTACAGTTTTGTGCAGGATCATTGGGCAGCAATCCGGTATGTGAACATTTTTTTCACCCGTTCTAGGCAAAGATTATTAAGCCTTGGGAGCAGGAACTTAACCAGCTTCTACTCTTTCTTAGTGTGTATTAGCTTATCTCAGGAGTCAGGCCTAGGGAAATAAGTACAATGCAGGTAGCCTTAGCACTCCTCCATTAGGGTGGAGCATTAATCAGTTGTAATTACTCCTCATTGCTAGTTTTGCTGCAAACCTTGCTTAGTTGGTTTTCAGGTGAGGATAGACTGAATGTGATATGCCATGCCATACATTTTTGAATAATTTACTGCCACTGAGGCCTCAATGTGACACTCCTCCCAACCCCTACCACCACTGCCCTAACAACAAGCAGTACAGTGTTGTTGGGGGACTAATGATTTAATTTGGGTTAAGCTTTCCCTACACACTGGTTACACACCATCTGTCATTTTTACAATGGCAGATATCGGGACGTCAGAATATCGAGCCACAGAGAGGTTACGGACTTCATTATTGTAGTGATTGAAATGAGGGCCAGATGGATCTCATTGACTGTGAGATCCTTGATTGGGGCTGTTAACCTGGGCCAATCAGGGAGCCCTGGCTCACAGATATAAACAGGAGATTCGGAAGGTTTCCTCAATCTAGGGACTGGCTTTGAGCTGGCTGGTCACAACCCACATACAATGCATATGTGAATAAAGGGTGACAGAATACCAGCCTCTGTGCGGTTATTCTAATTTACCATTTTGAAACTCAGCACAACAGAGAACAGTGTGAAAGGAAGGTAGATGTTGACAGCTCTGTGAGCTAAGTGCTTTTTCCAGCACTCCTGTGGGCTGGAGTCTACAGTCAAGGAAATCTATAGTGTCCCTTACCTTCCCCAGAAATACAAGGGATGAAATGACTTGGGACAAACATGAAGAACAATCACTGGGCAAAGAATAAACTGGCAGACACCTGCCACTCAATGAATGTAGCTCAACACAAGGGTCCTCATGGCAGACTGGTTAGCAAGGTTAGATCATACAGAATAGAGGGAGAACTAGCCATTTGGATATAGAACTGGCTCGAAGGTAGAATACGGAGGGTGGTGGTGGAGGGTTGCTTTTCGGACTGAAGGCCTATGACCTGCGGTGTGCCACAAGGATCGGTGCTGGATCCACTGCTTTTCATCATTTATATAAATTATTTGGATGTGAATATAGGAGGTACGGTTAGTAAGTTTGCAGATGACACCAAAATTGGAGGGGTAATGGACAGCAAAGAAGGTTACCTCAGAGTACAACAGGACCTTGATCAGATGAACCAATGGGCTGAGGAGTGGCTGGATTTTAATTTAGATAAACGTGAGGTACTGCACTTTGGAAAGGCAAATCAGGGCAGGACTTATACACTTAGTTGTAAGGTCCTGAACAAAGAGACCTTGGAGTGCAGATGCATAGTTCCTTGAAAGTGGAGTTGCAGATAGATAGGATATAAAGAAGGCATTTGGTATGTTTGCCTTTATTGGACAGTGCATTGAGTACAGGAGTTGGGAGGTCATGTTGTGGCTGTACAGGACATTGGTTAGACCACTTTTGGAATACTGTGTGCAATTCTGGTCTCCTCGCTATAGGAAGGATGTTGTGAAATTTGAAAGGGTTCAGAAAAGATTTACAAGGATGTTGTCAGGATTGGAGGCTTTGTGCTAGAGAGAGAGACTGAATAGGCTGGAGCTATTTTCCCTGGAGTATCAAAGGCTGAGGGGTGACCTTATAGAAATTTATAAAATCATGCGGGGCATGGATAGGGTAAATAGGCAAGGTGTTTTCCCCAGGATGGGAGAGTCCAAAACTATAGGAAATAGGTTGAAGGTGAGAGGGGAAAGATTCAAAAGAGACCTGAAGGGCAACTTTTTCACGCAGAGGGTGGTGCGTGTATGGAATGAGCTGCCAGAGGAAGTAGTGGAGGCTGGTACAATTATAGCATTAAAAGGCATCTGGATGGGTATATGAATAGGAAGGGTTTCGAGGGATATGGGCCAAACGTTGGCAAATGGGACTGGATTTATTTAGGATATCTGATCACCATGGATGAGTTGGACCGAAGGATTTGTTTCAGTGCTCTACAACTCTATGACTTTATGTGGCCAATGTTCTCTGGAGAGGAATGATGAAAAGAAGGGAGAAAACAAATGAACACATCACTCTAAGAATGAGAAAGTAGGAACTGCCAATGCTGGAGAATCTGAGATAACAATGTGTAGAGCTGGATGAACACAGCAGGCCAGGCAGCATCAGAGGAGCAGGAAAGCTGACTTTTGGGATCGAGACCGTTCTTCAGAAATGGGGGAGGGGAAGGGGATTCTGAAAATAAATAGGGAGAGAGGGGGAGGCGGATAGAAGATGGATAAAGGAGAAGATAGGTGGAGAGGAGACAGACAGGTCAAAGAGGCGGGGTTGGAGCCAGAAAAGGTGAATGTAGGTGGGGAGTTAGGGAGGGGATATGTCGGTCCAGGGAGAACGGAGAGGTCAAGGAAGTGGGATGAGGCTAGTAGGTAGGAGATGGGGGTGGGGCTTGAGGTGGGAGGAATGGTTCGGGAGGCGGGGACGAGCTGGGCTGGTTTTGGAATGCAGTTGGAGGAGGGGAGATTTTGAAGCTTGTGAAGTCCACATTGATACCCTTGGGCTGCAGGGTTCCCAAGCGAAATATGAGATGCTGTTCCTGCAGCCTTCGGACGGCATTATTGTGGCAATGCAGGAGGCCCAGGATGGACATGTCGTCCAAGGAGTGGGAGGGGAAGTTGAAATGGTTCGCGACGGCGAGGTGCAGTTGTTTGTTGCGAACCGAGCGTAGGTGTTCCACAAAGCGGTCCCCAAGCCTCTGCTTGGTTTCCCCAATGTAGAGGAGGCAACAACAAGAACAGCAGATGCAGTATACCACATTGGCAGATGTGCAGGTGAACATCTGTTTGATGTGAAAGGTCTTCTTGGGGCCTGGGATAGGGGTGCGGGGGGAGGTGTAGGGGCAGGTGTAGCACTTCCTGCGGTTGCAGGGAAAAGTGCCAGGGGTGGTGGGGCTGGTGGGGAGTATGGAACGGACAAGGGGGTCATGGAGAGAGTGGTCCCTCCGGAAAGCAGATAAGGGTGGGGAGGGAAAAATGTCTTTGGTAGTGGGGTCAGATTGCAGATGGCGGAAGTGTCAGAGGATGATGTGTTGGATCCGGAGGTTGGTGGGGTGGGACGTGAGGATGAGGAGGATTCTGTTTTGGTTGTTATTGCAGAGGGCCTTTAGGCCATCTGCATGGGGAATGCAGGTGTTTCAGGACTGGACATCCATGGTAAAGGTGAGGTATTGGGGACCAGAGAATCGGAAGTTTTGGAGGAGGTGGAGGGCGTGAGTGGTGTCATGGACGTAGGTGGGGAGTTCCTGGACCAAGGGGGAGAAAATGGAGTCGAGATAAGTGGAGATGAGTTCGGTGGGGCAGGAGCAGGCGGAGACAATGGGTCAACCAGGGCAGTCAGGTTTGTGGATTTTGGGAAGGAGATGGAAACGGGCGTGCGGGGTTGGGGAATGATGAGGTTGGAGGCTGTGGGTGGGAGGTCACCTGAAGCAATGAGGTTGTGGATGGTTTGGGAGATGATGTTTTGGTGGTTGGGGGTGGGGTCATGATCAAGGGGGCGGTAGGAGGAGGTGTCAGAGAGCTGGCGTCTGGCCTCGGCGATGTAGAGGTCAGTGCGCCATACTACAACTGCGCCTCTCTTGTCCGCGGGTTTTATGGTGAGGTTGGGATTGGAGCGGAGGGCTGCACATTCTGCGGGGAAGAGGTTGGAGTGGGTGAGAGGGGTGGAGAGGTTGAGGCGATTGATGTCTCGACGGCAGTTGGAGATGAAGATGTTGAGGGAGGGTAGGAGGCCTTGGGGTGGTGTCCAGGAGGAGGGGGTGTGTTGGATGCAAGAGAAAGGGTCAGTAGAGGGAGGGTTAGGCTCACGATTAAAGAAGTAAGCGCTGAGGCGGCAGAAAAACTGTTCAACGTCCAAGCGTGAATTGAATTTGTCGATGTTTGGTTGGAGGGGGACAAAGGTGGGTC